CCATTTTTGTTCACTGCAGTGTGAAAAGTGTGAAAAAACACACTTCTTTTTCTTCATCTTCTTGTTCCCTATTTACTGGTCTCTTTCAAAGAGGAAATTGTGAACATCAAACTTATTCTCAACTGTCCTAGTGAAAGTTTTGATTGGTATCTATTTTTATTTTTGAAATTTACCAGTAGCTGCTGCATTTCCCACCCTCGGCTTATACTCGAGTCAATAAGTTTTCCCAGTTTTTTTGTGGTAAAATTGGTTGCCTCGGCTTATATTTGGGTCGACTTATACTCGAGTATATATGGTAAATGGCACTGTTGGCCTAAGAGCTAAAATTGTTGAAATCTTGTTACTACGTATGAAAAACCTTTTATGATTATGTACTTTCTTTCTTTATGTTAATTATAGAGATGTTGCCAAATGATGTCCAGTCTGAACTGAAGCACTTATATGTTGCAGTGGGAGAGTTATTACGACACTTCTGGTCCTGTTTTCCTGTTAATACACCATTCCTGGAAGAAAAAGTAAGAAGAATCTCCATTAAGATTAATTAGTGTTTCATAGCGGGAGCAATTAATTAAAAGTAAACATGCTCCTTATAATGATTATATTTTTAAAAAATTACAGGGTACATGGACATTGATATGTATGACTATTTGCGCTGAAGAGAAACTTTGTATTGGGATAAATTTAATACTGATTTTTTAGCTTTTTGGTCACATTTTCTAGTTGCTATTATTATCGCTGCTTACATTGCAAAGATTTTGAAATTGGAATACAATATGTTATAGAAGTTACTATATCTTAATTGGGCACAAAGCCTGGACTGTGTATACAATGTAGGCCAAATGCAATATTAGGTATGGCAAAACATTACATGCATGGGTTATGTTTCATCCCAACATGGACCTGAAGCAGGCAGTGGTGTCCTAGGGTGAGCAGAAGAAAAAAAAGATCACTGAAAGAGACAGCAATTGAAGGGATGTTAGAGAAAGCAGAATGTGTGGAAACAGGTTGAGGAAGCTGACTGAGCATACAAGGTGGGGAAGCAGACATGGGAAGGGAAGAACAGGAAGCTCAAGTAGCATTGCGTACTTAGACCATTCAGGAAAGAGAGAAGGGAACAGGGTGAAGCAGCCTTCCCCTATTCCCCATATAAGACCTCTCCAGATTTCGCTCACCCCAAACATGGAACCACCAAGATTTCTAGGCTTTGAGTTGGCTGAACCACAACTCACCAACCTGGAATTTTCAGACCATGACATTTTTATTCTGTATATAGAACAACACCGTTTTTGTTTGATACTTAACTAAAGTATCTGTTCAATTCATAGATATTATTTTTGTATCTGTTCAATTCATAGATATTATAGATATTATGTATCTGTTCAATTCATAGATATTATTTTTGAAGCAATTGTATGATTAAGCCAAAGAGACCATATGGTTAATATTTTCTATTTCCTTTCAGGTTGTAAAAATGCAGAGTAATTTGGAAAGATTTCAAGTTACAAAACTCTGCCCATTCCAAGAAAAAATTCGAAAGCAGTATTTAAGCACAAATGTAAGAAAAGGCCATTCTTTTATCCTCCTTAAAATGTATAAGTTTGTAAATTGCTTTGTTCATAAATAAGTCAGCCAATCTTACTGGTTATTAGAAAATAAAATAGTTAAATTAGACTTTATAGGTTTGGAAGCTTTTAAAATTGAATAAATGTTTCTGGAGTGAATAATCTCTACAGAGTCATAGGAACGTTTCTATAATTATTATAATTTGATATAATAATTATCTTTCATTTGTAAAATCCTTAAATTTAGCGAATTGGTATCCACTTATTGGGTAGTTTTCTGCAGATTCTCTGGGGGCGATTTTGATCTATCCGTTGTCTCTCAAGAGAGAGTTGTTTGATATAAGTTGAAAATAAATATGGTTCCCTTTCCTACTAGTTTAAGAAGTATCTTCACCTTATATGCAATTGTTAGGCAGTGAAAATATCTGACCTTAAAATGACTAAAATAGTAAGATCATAAGTTGGTGGGAAAAAGTCTTCCATTCTACCTTTATATATTTTTAATGTTGTTTATTCATTGTGGCACGTTGTTTTGTAGTAGTAGCATTTCTTTTTGCAATAAAGTTTCTATTTTTTTTTCAGTTGGTAAATCACATAGAAGAGATGCTCCAAACAGCCTACAATAAATTCCATACATGGCAGTCCCGACGTATGTTGAAAAAAACGTGAAGACCACAGTGTTTCCAACAGGGGACAAATTTGCAATAGCTGTAGGAACCACAACTACTAACTGTGTAGATCTTACAGAAATTGCAGGGGATGTCAGCATCATAAGGACTCTTTAAAATGATGCTGACTGAGCTTGCACCTTTTGGGAAGAACAGAGGTTAAACTTGAAAACAAAGGAGTTTAAAGGAACCAAATCAGAAAAGCAAAGTGGCAAACACACACATACACACACAAAGACACTGTTTACTGCAGTTACTCAGGAACTGCTTTTGATTTTCATAAGAGCTGCTTTCAGAAATAAAAACTTTAACAGATGTGTATTAATAAACTCCAAGGTTGTTCATTTAATTTTTTTAAATGTATGGCACAGGGTAGAACTTAATATTTCTGTTAATGCTGTCTCCTAGCATTTTATTGGTTTCTGTTTGTACTTCTAGAGATAAGTTTAAATTTTTACGCAGATAAACTATTTCAAGTTCTTAAGGAACCTAGATGCAAGAGGACAAGTTTTTGTCATGGTTTCCTTATAAAATCAGTCAATGCACAGAAATACTTAATATTTGAAGGAGACATACTTGCAGGCAGTGCAGAATTTTATGCAGAATTTTCACCAGCCATTGTTTGCATGTTTTCTTTGGAAGGTGAGTGTGTGCTACTACGTTTTCGTTTTGTTTTTTTAGCTTCATTTGGAGGTGAGAAAGTCATTTGTAATGTAAGTGTAAGCACTTACAAAAATAATAACTTTTATACTTTTCACAAAACAATCTTAAATGTGTTTTCTTCAGTTCTTTCCTGACGACAGTTAGCGCTGTATTTGGCGACTAGATAATCATTGAAGAGTGAATATCCCATATCTTTAAATATATTGGGAATCCTTACAACATTAAGATACAAAAAAGAGGCAGATCACTCTTACCTAAAATGTACCTGCCATGTATTAAGTACTTGACTTACTAAAGCAAAAGTAAACTTGTTTTGCATAATCTGTGGAGTCAGACTCCTTATATTTGTTCTCTTAATGTCTTCCTCATTAACAATTTATTCTTGGACCAAGCAAACGGCTTAGCTTATATGTAATAAGATGTATCAAAATGATGAGCCAGAGGCTTACAATTGCATAAACAATTTTATTGGCAGATTTTAGAAACATGGGACTCTTCTGTTATATCCATGCCCCTCTCCATCAAAGAATACTAGAACTGTATTACTAATTTACAGTGGATTGAGATAGTGGGTTGCTACCTCACCTCTATACACTGTAGCACTGATCAGTTTGTGAGCTGCAAGAGTTACTTACTCCTTATACAAGAGTACGTACTTGTATACATGCTCTTGGTTTATGCCAGTGATTTTGATAGATTGCAACAAGTAAAAAATTTTAAGCAGCTACTATTCTGTATTTTGGGGTAAATTTAAGACATTAATTTTAAATTTGCTACTTTGTTTTCAGAGAAGCTGCATGGTATATACTAGAAAACGATACTTACATCCACTTGCCCATTGGGGGGGGGGGGAGAGTCCCTTTGTATTTTACTTCAGTTGCCCCAATTAAAATGATTTGTGAAAAGCTGACATTAATCATGAAAATGATTTGTGAAAAGCTGACATTAATCATGAAAAATAAAACATTGATGCTGCTATGGGAATATCATCTTGCTGAAATGTGATTCTGGTGGTATGTGAGTACTTTAATGTATTTGGATGAGCTAATTTTTGGTGTCCTTGTTATTACGCCCAGTTACAGATTTTACACACATCTCAAACACTACCCCTGCAACAAAGAGCAAATTGAAACAGATTCTAAAGCAAAGTGTTTCGTGGTTGAGAGCTAGATTGACTTTTACAAATTCCAGATCATGTTAGATGTGTGAAGACATACATTTGCACGAATATTTCTTTGAGCAATAATTATGCAAGCTATAAATGTGGGTTTAATCAGAACTTGCTTAGACAGATAACTAGATTTATAATCATTTAGCAAAATAAGTACTACCTTCTTTCTGGTCTTTTATTTAAATATATAGGCTTTGAAGAATAGCTACCATTGCAAAAATATTATATTTTTAACTATATTATTCAACAAATAACCATTAGATTATTCTACCAGAAGGTGGCAATAGCAACTACTTGACATGCTATTTATAGACAGCTCTTTTCTACAATTGCTATCTGACTTTCTGATCCCATTTCTGCTGAAGCATGGTCCAAAACAGATAAGAGATTTGAATATTAACTCTGAAATGTCTTGCTAACTATACAAGCATTGAAATCTGAACTTATATTTAACAGAAAATTATATAACTTGTATCACTGGCATTAATAAAAAACTAGAATTCTCTACTCAAGTGTTTGCTGGTGATTTAGGATATATTTTATGATTTTCCTTACATTCAAAGCTCTAAAATCATGTAATAGTTAGTGTTTTATGCATCTGAACATTTTAGAAAGCTGGTTGTTTCTAATATGTTGATCCATAACTGATTTTCAGACTTCAGTCTGCAAAAAAGGTTAGGAATCTATTCCGTGACCGTTTCTATTTTCTAACTACTACTATAGATTTAAAAAGTAGTGTTGCATTGGCAATCACAAGAACTAGTTAAATATTGCTATATCAGAAGAAATATGTTTCACTTTTTTAGCTATGACATTATTTAAAGATAGACATTATGTAACTTGGAATATTTGAGTTAGGAAAATACCCATTAATACACAGAAGCTACCCTACTTTATTGCTCCATCTGCTCATTAGACCAATGTGGCTCCCAGCTTGTTGGGATTCTGTAAAGTCTCAGTTCTAGGCCTCTGGATGAGGTGAATGTGTGTATTTCTATCTGTACAATTGTGCCTGGATTAAATTTTGCTTTAATTTCTATTGCTTGTTATGCTGCTAGGATTGTTTGACCTAGCTAGTGACAAAGAACGAGAGGAAAAAAGTGCCCTTGACAGATTTTGCATACCTTTCTGAAAACAGCCTATTCTGAAAAGAATATTCTCTTGTCTACGCCCCAGACATTCATTAGGCACCAGGAAGTCATCATAAGACCCCTTCTACAAAGGTTAATCTATTAACAATGTGACACTTCTTTTGAGGGTTAAAAGGCTAGATAAGAGGAGGTGGGGATTGCCCTATAAAGTGCAAGGCATGGGAATTGAAGGCTTCATGGTAAAATTAAAGGGATAAATCATGCCACAGCCTTAGCATAATCATGGTCTTCTGACAGCAGTCTGGCTGTGGGTTTTGGGATCTTTAGAGTCAGAACAGTTTTAATTGAGGCATTACGGCTGAGCATCATAGTCTGCCTCCGTATTAGTAATTTCAAATATGTGCCTGGTAAGTAACCCATTGGGTGGATCAGGGTTTGAAATTTTAAGATTATTCAAAAATCTTTAACATTAATCAGCCTGAAGTTATGAAATTTTTACTTTCTCTGGGAAAATAAATTGGGAAGTGAAAGGAATCATACAATAGATGGAACCCCAATCATATTTTTGTTGAAGAATATAAATTGATTCAGTCTTCATTAATTTGCTCTTGTGTCCATTAGATCCATTCATTACTGTTTATGCATCTTTTTCCAAGGAGCTTGATGTGCCACCTTCAATTTGTCTACATAGCAATCTTATGGGCTGATAATATAATCCAACCAGGTTGCTTACACAAATATCTTTGGATGCAATAATGCTAGGTGATTATTGAGTTTTTCAAAGTAGGTTGCATAATTTTTTTTGACAGCCATTAATGTGATTTATTTCTTGTTCCAGTGAAGAAACTCAGACCCAAGGAATAACTAAATACAAAACAACAGTATGTCTGATGACATTTGGCTGGATCCAGGCATCAAAGGAGTAATGAAAGCTTAACAGTACCTGCGTTTGATAAATGCTTCAAAGAGAAATACCAACAGATTGATCATAAACATCACTGTGATGTTTTCTTTAAAAATATTCCAAACTATTCTTGAAATTTTGAGCAAACATTTCAGCTAATAGTTATGTAGCTGGGTGACAGGATGCTCATTTCATTCTTTTCAGGAATGTCTGAAAATGTTTAGCTACTATTCAGCTACAAAAAAAGTCAAGAATCCCTTGTGACTAATTGTTTTGCCACAGTTGCCCTTCCAAAGAGATCTCAATAGTATAACTTGCTGAAGAAAAAACATTTTATGATCTATCTGAACATGCCTTCTTCATAAAAAAAAAGTTTGTTTCCATAAAAGGGCCTTACAAAAGTTATATCAATATTCTGCAGCAGCGAAGCAGGCCCCTTCTAAGGATAAATGGTACTGTTTTAGGTGAATATAATTTGAGCAATTTGGCAAACTAAGCAACTTTTTCTAGCTGTTTGACTCTTCTACTTATAGTCACCAAATAAAATTACAAGCAAGAATTGTCATTACCACCAAGGTATCTAACATGTTTATCCTGTAGAGACCAATCCATCTGCATTTATGTGATGTGTCATTTTCAATTCTGTTTCTATCTCTGTCCTCTGCAATGCTGCCTCTGAGCACTTGCTTGCTACGAGTGTTTTATGAATTGAGGATTGACAGTAACCACTGATGTTTAATGACAATAAATTCCCTTCCATATAAGTTCTAGCATTGTAGTATTTAACACCTCAAACTAAATTTAGCACCTATATTTTTGTGCATAGTTTTCTCTGAAGTTATGAATGAATGCAAAAAACATCAAGGGTTTACTGTCATCTTTTATGATTTTCATAGCCATGCTATATGCCGGGGCTGTCAAACTCCTGGCCCACGGGCCAGATGTGTCACACACTGGCCACGTCCATGCCCAGTTTAGCAAAGGAGAAAAAAGTCCTGATACGTCATGTGATGCTACTCTGACAACATGAGTTTGACACCTGCTATATGTCATACACTGGGAACATCTCACTGTCCAGGTTATAATTCGTTAGTACAATATCTGATTCATCTTTTAACTTCTGAAAGCTTGTTTGCATTGCCATTCCTTCCTACTTACTGCAACGTGTTCAAGAGAGAGTGCACAGCAGCTAACACTTGGCAGGAATTTGGTAGAATTGATGATTCCTAAAAGATTTAGGACACATCTTGTGACTTTGAAGCATTTAGAGCTGTTTGAATGTCTCTGGGCTCTCTGAGCTTTGTTACTTACAGACATTTCATTACCCAACTAAGCAACGTCATTGAGGGAAAAACCATACCCTCAACAAAAATGGCAGGGCAAGCTGTTGTACTTGTATAAACGGAGAAAATTCTACCCTCAATATAGTGTTACAAGTTAGGTACTGAAATGTCTGTAAGCAAACAACCAAACTTGTAGAGCCCCGTGAACTCCACACCCTTAACCTATATATTCTATTTGAATTTTTCTCTGTTCACTTGTGTAGGCTTTGTACCTTAGTAGTGTGACCACCTACTGTTACATTTAAAGAACACACATTTATTGCATCACATTTAAAAGCCAGAGTTTGTCAATCTCTGCAACACCCTCTCAAAATTTTGCAGATGCACTTCAGTGATGATATCTAAAAAGCACAAAATTTCTGGGCAAGCTTGTAGCACTTAGTCTATGGCTGTCGGCCAAAGTGCTGAAACACCCTTCTCTAAAACAAGTCTGGTTTTTGCAATATACTTATTAACCTTGAAGATTGCAAGTGACTTTCAAGTTAGGGCAGTATTCTTCCCAATATCAACTGCTTTGGTAACAGAGGAAGGAAGATTCTCCACCTTCCGCTTGTAAGTATCCTAGGATTTCTGACTGATTTGCATGTGAAGCAAAATGCTAAACCAATATGGACTTGAAGGATATTCTGGTCTAGAAAGATATTCTGTTCCTGCAGATTTCTATTTCATATAAGCAACAATGGTGTACAAATTGGCAACATTCTACAGAAAGTTAATATTTTGTCTTAGAGATTGATGATCTACCATCAATTTGATGTTGACTCAGCAACCATTTTCTTCATGATAATCTACCCCAATCATAGTCCTTCAGCTCTTACTGCATCTATGATCACTGTCATTCAGCCCATCCACCTTACTGTCATTCCTCCTCTTCCACCATCTCCAATATTAGAACCTCTCCACAGAGAGCTAGGCCTTTGCATAATGTATCCTAAAGTAAGCTAATTTGAGTTCTGGTCATTTGTGCTCAGTGAAAATACTAGGTTGATTTACTCACAGTATCCTGAACAGTCTTCTCCAACACCAATGTTCAAGAGCTTAAATACTCTTCCTAGCCTGCTTCTTCGAAGTCCAACTTTTGCTTTTATTGAGCATCACAAGAAATATCAAATGTATGTATGTGTAAAATCTTTTTAACAACCCCATAATCCCTTGCAGGGTGGAGTCTGGGCAACTGAATGGAGCTGAATGTTTACTGGCCGGATGCCCTTCCTGTCACCAATGTGGAATTTGTTTCAGCAGATATATTCTCAGTGTGCCCAGAGAAAGAAATATCTGCTTCAACCTAGGATTGAACTTGTGACTGAGATGAGGGCTTATATCTGACAACTATAACATTTTATTTCCTTGACTGGCTAACCCTTCACTCAGTCCTCAAAACTGGACAACTGCAATTTGCTATATGTGGGC